TGGGTCTATAGTTTTCTTTTTTGGTTGTATCTTTACCTGGCTTTGGTATTAGAGTGATGCTGGCTTCATAGAAGAAATTTGGAAATTCTCCCTCCATTTCTATCTTTTTGAATAAATTAAGTAGTATTGGATGTCGATCTTCTTGAAATGTCTGATAGAATTCTGCTGTAAATCCATCCGGTACTGGGCTTTTTTTACTTTGGAGGTTTGTATTACTGTTTCAATTTCTTTTTGTGTTATGGGTCTATTTAAGCTGTTAATCTCTTCTTGGTTTAGTTTTGGTGGTCCCATGCCTTTAGATATGTGTACATTTCTTTTAGGTTTTCAAATTTAGTAGCATATAAGTTTTTAAAGTATTCTCTTATAATATTCTGTATCTTTCTGGTGTCTGTTGTGATGTTTCCCCTTTCATCTCTGATTTTTTGATTGGAGGTGCTCTTTCTTTCTTTTGGTTAACTAGGCTGGCAGTCTGTCAATCTTGTTTATCTTTTCAGAGAACCAGCTCTTGGAGTTCTTGATTCTTTGCATTGTTTTCTTTCTTTCAATTTCATTAATTTCTGCCCTGGTTTTTGTTATTTCTTCTGGTCTGCTGGGTTTGGGTTTTGTTTGCTGTTGCTTTTCAGGTGTCTTGAGCTGCAATGTTAAGTCATTTATTTGTTTTCTTTCCGATTTTTTGATGTAGGCACTTAGAGCTATAAACTGCCCTCTAAGGACCGCTTTCAGTGTGTCCCAGAGGTTTTGTTGTGTTGTATTGTCCTTTTCATTTAGTTCCAGGAATACTTTTATTTCTTTCTTAATTTCTCTTCTGACCCATTCATCATTTAGGAGTGTGTTGTTTAATTTCCATGCATTCGTGTGGTGACTAGGGCTTCTTCCGATATTGATTGTTAGCTTTATCACATTGTAGTCTGATAGAATGCATGGAATTATTTCAGTCTTTTTGTATTTGTTGAGGTTTGTTTCGTGCCCCAGTATATGGTCGATTTTGGAGAAGGTTCCATGGGGTGCTGAATAGAAAGTATGTCCTTTGGTGCTTGAGTGGAATACTCAGTAGATGTCTATTAAGTCCATTTGATATATGGTATTGTTTAATTCAGATGTCTCTCTGTTAACTCTCTGCCCTGTTGACCTATCTAATGGAGACAGTGGGGTATTGAAATCCCCTACTATTAATAAGTTGGGATTAATCTGGGTCTTAAAGTCCTGTAGTACTGTTTTTATGAAGTTGGGTGCACCAGAGTTTGGTGAATATATGTTCATGATTGTAATATCTTTTTGATTAATTGTTCCTTTGATCAGAATGAAGTGGCCCTCTTCATCTCTTCTGATTATTTTTAGTTTAAAGTCTATTTTGTCAGATATTAGGATTGCTATGCCTGCTTTTTTCTTAGTACCATTTAATTGGTATATTTTTATCCATCCTTTCACCTTAAGATAGTGTCTGTCCTTGAAAGTGAGATGAGTTTCTTGCAGAAAACAAAAAGATGGGTTTTGTTCCTTAATGCATTCACCTAGTCTGCCTTTGACTGGGGAGTTCAGTCCGTTAATATTTAAAATTATTAATACCAGATGAGTATTGAATCCTGTCATTTTATTTCTGTTTACATTCTTGATATAGCTGTACTTTTCCACAGTTATACCTTCACGGAATTTCTTTCCAGAACCCCTTGGGTGTAGTTGTTCCTTTCTTCAGCTCTTTGTATTGCTTCCAGAACTCTCTGAAGAGCTGGTTTTGTGGACATGAATTCCTTCAGCCTATTTATGTCATGGAAGATTTTTCTTTCCCCTTCAACTATAATAGACATTTTGGCTGGATATAGTAATCTGGGTTGGCATCTGTGGCCATTTAAAACTGGGAATGCTTTGGTCCAGGCTCTTCTGGCTTTCATAGTTTGCATTGAAAAGTCAGCTGTAATCCTAATGGGTTTTCCTTTATATGTGACTTGTTCTTTCTCTTTTGCAGCTTTCAGTATTGTCTGTTTTGTACACGTAGTATTTTTACTATGATGTGCCGTGGAGAGTTTCTTTTCTGGTCCTGTCTGTTTGTTATTCTATATGCTTCTTGTATTTGTATGGGCATGTCTTTCTTTAATTTTGGGAAATTTTCTTCCACGATTCTGTTGAAGATCTGGTTCATGCCATTATCTTGGGATTCTTCTCCTTCCTGTATGCCTATGATTTGTAAGTTTGGTCTTTTTATGGTGTCACATAATTCCTCCATATTCCATTCTTGTGATTTCTTAAATTTTTTATAATTTTTGCTTGAATGATATAGTTCATCCACTTTATCTTGCAGTCTTGATACTTTGTTTTCCATTTCATTCATCCTATTGGTGAGGCTTTCTCCTGTCGTTTCTAAATGGCTTATGGAATGTTTCA